TCTCTCTCTCTCTCTCTCTCTCTCTCTCTCTCTCTCTCTCTCTCTCATGCCTCTCTTTGAAACTGCTGTCTAGAACTCGCATCCCAATGCTTGACCAGCGACTCACTGGACAGATTATACGGTACAGATTCCTTAATGTTTAAGGGAGGTGACTTTCTCGAAGGAAAACCAATGAGATAATACATTATATACATTTTGGTTTGTTCTTTTTCCCATATATGATCAGAAGTTAATGCTTTCATGTCTGTCTCTGAAAAGACTTAAAGCACCACTTTGCACGTTTTTGCATTAAGAGCATGTTTTGGATGGTTCTTTTTCAGTTAACATAAGTTCTTACGTTTTTGTCAGACAGATTTGAGCTACGTGAACTGCAGCCACCATATTACTTTTGTTTTCTCTCAGTTATCTTGTAAAATCAAGCAGCCCACTAATTTTAAGCAGCTGATCTGTTTTGTCACAAGTGCACAAAGAGGACAAAAACATTTGGCACAAAAGTTCTTCTTTTTATATGAAATGTCTATTTGTCTTAACAATCTGTGTACATTTTAATCAAGGTGCATATGGGAGTAGCTTTTAGTCGAGGTGAAAAGGAACAGCTTACAATTATCGTTCAAATCCAGGTGATGACATTCTTACTTAAAGAAACAATGCAAATAAGAGAGTATAAATTGTAATGTATATTCAACCCTCAATATACTGCCTATTTTGTTATAATAAAACTCTATATTGAGCTTTAATTGAACTCCACACCTATGGGAATTATTTTCTTTATAGTGTCAAACATACACTCATGAATATGTGTGTATGTATATAAAAGTAAATATAAATAGATATATAAATATGTATTTTCCTTTACTTTTACCACCATCAGCTTTGTTGTAAATGGATTGTTTTATGCAAAAACACAGACACACAGGACACATGGACTGAATGGTGGTGTTCCATTTGCATCTGCTCAAACAGTATGAAATAAAACTCAAGTTGGCAGTTTGTAGTCTTCAGCTCTCTCTCTCCTATATAGTTGTCATATTTACTTTTTCATGTGACGTGCATGATTTCTAAAAGCAATAGTCTTTGACGCATTAAATGTAAGTGAGAAGCGGAGGAGAGGGCTTCTCTTTCTGTTTTCACCTGGGATTGTGAAAATGTCAGAGTTAGCATGAACTGTAAACGTTAGAGGCTAGGAGATTATTGCCTCCATGTATGTGAACTTGTTGACTGCCCATAGCTGAAGAGAGATTTGCTTTGCCACTCTCTAACGCAAGCCTTTAACTATCCACCAGGGGGCGCACTGACAGCATCCACTTTTCATTCTCAAGTTACTCGGATATGATTGTTTTCTAAAAGATTGCTTCTCTAACTTGTCATCATGGCATTCTAACACATTTTTGACTGGATTATGTACATAATCTGCCAACTTGATTCATTCCATTTGTCAAAAAGGAGAACAGTAAATAAAAACTTTTTTCTCATACACAGTGTCTTTGTGTAACTTTTTCCATAGCGAATAAGGTAATATATTTCTAGTTTGACAAAAGTATTAGAGAGCTTTTTTTTTTCTTTTTTTCTGTTTGGTCCATACAGTGTACATTAAGTAATTTCTAATCAAAACGGGTTGGTTACCATTCTTCAGAATATCTTCTTTTGTGTTCCACAGACTTTTCCATCACTTTAAGCAACACACCAGGGGCTGGTTGCATAAACTGCTTAGACTAGTCTTAAAAAGTTAGCCATCTAAGTGGTAACACTTTACATTAAGGTTCCCTTTATAACGGGTTTATAAAGGTGTTAATAAATGACTAATAACTCACTTACAAATGCATTATAAATCATTGATAAGCAGTTATAAATGCATGAGTAAAAGGGTGATTTTAATGCAATATCTGCCAAATAGTGAGCCATTTTTAACTCACATGTTATAAATGCTTAAAGATATTTATTAATACTTATTTCACTCAAAACCAGATTCCTGATTTATTTCATGATGCAGCAAAAATTTATTATTATAGCAAGACTGAAGGGTGTTGTATTTATGGTTTTCTCATTTATATCTCATGACTCGTGTCACTTTTCTTACAATGTTTCTTACCAGAATCTACTCTGTACCTTACCCATGATTCTCTGCAAAAGTCCATGATGCCTATCCACAGCAATGATTAGAAATCGATATATTTTGTTTATCAAGATGAATTATCGTCTTGATTTTTATTTTGGGGGAAAAAATAATAAAAGCACACCCATGACTTGATGAGATATTAATATTGAAAATTTTAATTCCAATATTACCTGTGAACTTTAATGTAATGAGCTATTTATTAATGATTTATAAACGTTAATAACTTGCGAAAGTGAACCTTAATGTCAAGTGAACACCTGTGAACTATTTATTGGTTAGCTATAAAGGTTAGTAACCTGTGAAAGTGAACCTTAATGTAAAGTGAACACCTGTGAACCATTTATTAATGAATTATAAACTTTAGTAACCTGTGAAAGCGAACCTTAAAAGTGAACACCTGTGAACCATTTA